CTGGGTGCCTCCTGAGCCGTCCTGTAGCTCCGGAAAGCCGAAAAGACGAGAAGGCCAAAATCCTTCAAAAGCCATAAAGAAAATTCATGGTTTTGGCCTCTCGGGGCCCTCCCATGAAGCCTTTTGGAGGCCTCTTGGGGCGTCTTGGAAGCCTCTTGGGCCGTCTGGGGCCCACCTTGAACGTCCTGGAGCGATCGTTCGGCGTCTCAGGAGCCCACGAAAATGCCGACAGTTGCGCAGTCGGCAGCTCCCCCCGCAGGGAGCCGCGAGGTCCCGACGCGATCCGCGTGTAACCCCACTCCGCTGGGACCAGGAGCCCACGAAAGGACGGACCGACAGTTGCGCAGTTGGCAGCCCCCCCCGCAGGGAGCCGCGAGGTCCCGACGCGATCCGCGTGTAACCCCACTCCGCTGGGCCTCCCAGGAGCCCACGAAAATGCCGACAGTTGCGCAGTTGGCATCTCCCCCCGCAGAGAGCCGCGAGGTCCCGACGCGATCCGCGTGTAACCCTACTCCGCTGGGCCTCCCAGGAGCCCGCGAAAGTGCCGACAGTTGCGCAGTTGGCAGCTCCCCCCGCAGGGAGCCGCGAGGTCCCGACGCGATCCGCGTGTAACCCCACTCCGCTGGGCCTCCCAGGAGCCCACGAAAGTGCCGACAGTTGCGCAGTTGGCAGCTCCCCCCGCAGGGAGCCTAGAGGTCCCGACGCGATCCGCGTGTAACCCCACTCCGCTGGGCCTCCCAGGAGCCCACGAAAGTGCAACAGTTGCGCAGTTGGCAGCTCCCCCCGCAGGGAGCCGCGAGGTCCCGACGCGATCCGCGTGTAACCCCACTCCGCTGGGCCTCCCAGGAGCCCACGAAAGTGCCGACAGTTGCGCAAGTTGGCAGCTCCCCCCGCAGGGGGCCGCGAGGTCCCGACGCGATCCGCGTGTAACCCCCACTCCGCTGGGCCTCCCAGGAGCCCACGAAAGTGCCCACAGTTGCGCAGTTGGCAGCCCCCCCCGCAGGGAGCCGCGAGGTCCCGACGCGATCCGCGTGTAACCTCACACCGCTGGGCCTCCCAGGAGCCCACGAACATGCCGACAGTTGTGCAAGATCGCAGCTCCCCCCGCAGGGAGCCGCGAGGTGTCGGCGCGATCCGCGTGTAACCCCACTCCGCTGGGCCCCCCATGAGCCCACGAAAGTGCCGACAGTTGCGCAAGATCGCAGGAGGCGACAGATGCGCATATCGCAGCCCCCCAGAGGGCCCCGCGAGGAGGAGGTAGGAGGCAGGAGGGAAGTGGGCGGCAGGACGGGGCGACCAGAGTGCTCTATTCAAAACGAGTACCCAACCAAGGGAGGGATGGGAATACCAATGAGACTTAATTCGAATCGTAAGAAGAAGAAAACGGAGAAGAGGAGGACTAACGGGAGTGAGAACTAGGAGGGGTAGAAGGAGGAGGGGGAGGAGGAGGAGGAGGAGGAGGAGGAGGAGGCGGAGGAAGAGGAGGAGGAGAGGGACGCGGGGGAGAGAGGAGGAGGAGGAGGAGGAGGAGGAAGGAGGAGGAGGAGGAGGAGGAGGAGGAGGAGGATAGGAGGAGGAGGAGGAGGAGGAGGAGGAGGAGGAGGAGGAGGAGGAGGAGGAGGAGGAGGAGGAGGAGGAGGAGGAGGAAGGAGGAGGAGGAGGAGGAGGAGGAGGAGGAGGAGGCGGAGGAGGAGGAGAGAGGGAGGAGAGCGAGGCGGAGGCGGAGGCGGAGGCGGAGGCGGAGGAGGCGGAGGCGGAGAGGAGGAGGAGGAGGAGGAGGGAGGAGGAGAGGAGGAGGAGGAGGAGAAGGAGGAGCAGCAGGAGCAGGAGGAAGAGGAGGAGGAGGAGGAGGAGGAGGAGGAGGAGGAGGAGGAGGAGGGAGGAGGAGGAGGAGGCCTCTAGAGAGCGTCTTGCAGCACTCTTGGGGCCTTCTGGGAGCTTCTGGGCGACTCTTGGACGCCTCTGGGGGGGCTTCCCTGGGCCTCTTGGGGGCCTTTGAGGCTTCTTTGGAAGTTCTTTGACCGTCTGAGAGCGTTCCTGGCCTGTCTGACGCCGTCGGAAATCGTCCTGGGGGCCTCTTTTTGGCCGACTTGGGGCCCTCTTGGGGCGCTTCAGGGCCGTCTTGGAGGCCATCATGGGCGCCTTGGGGGTCTTGCGGGTCGTCTTGGGGCCCTCTTGCGGCCGTCTTGGGGGCCTCGTGGGTCGTCAGGGAGCCAGGCCTCCTGGGCGCTTGTGGGGCCATCTTGGTGGCCTCTGGGGCCGTCTTGGGCCCTCGGAACACATAGAACGGACAAGCGCCAATATCCCTAGAGCACCAACGGGAAACCAATGATCTGTGCTTCTTCGTTCCTTCCTGGAGGTCCTCGTGGAAGCCTCCAGGGCCGTCTTGAAGGCCTCTTGGGACTTTTAGGTCCATCGTGGCGCCATCCTGGGTTATCTTCAGGCCATCCTGGCCGTCCGGGGGGCATCTTTGGGCCTGTCTTGCATGCCACCTCTTTTGCCATACAGTCGGGGCCCTGAAGAAGGAACCCTTTTCGTTGGGGAGGGGCTCCGTGTTCCTTAATTGTTTCGCAGCTTGCCTTGGATTCTCCTTAGGTCTTCGATGCGAAATGGAAGTTCAACTTGTGGAAAATAGGGGCCTCGTTCCTTATTTAATCGCTTCGCTCATTCCGCCGGCCCATACGGTCTCATGTCTGCCGTTTGCCCGAGGGCCTGGTGTCAATGCGGCGCTTTGGGGGTTCATGGGGCCGCTTGGGGGACTCCTGGGGCGCTCGGGGGGGCATTTGGGGGGCCTCCTGGGGCCGCTTGGGGGACTCTTGGGGGCCTCCTGAGGGCCTCGTGGGGGCCTTTTGGGGCCTCTTAGGGGCCTCTTGGGGCCTCGTAGGGGCTTCTTAGGGCCGAGGGCTCGAAATTTTGTTTCGTGTTCCCTCTCTGGGGCCCCTCTGGGGGTGTTCTTGGGGCCCTCTTGGACCGTCTTGGAGGCTTCTTGGGCCGTCTTCGAGCCCTCTTGGGCCATCTTGGGGCCCTCTTGGGGGCCTCTTGGGCCCTCTTGGGGCGATCTTGGGGGCCTCTGGGGCCGTCTTGGGGCGTCGGGAACCGAAAAGGTGGAAGCTCCAAAATCTTTCAAAAACCTAAGGAAAAACAATGAATTTTGCCTCCGGGGGCCCTCTTGGGAGTGCTCTTGGAGGCCTCTTGGGGCGTCTGGGGGCTATCTTGGGCGTCTTGGAGCGATCTTGTGGCATGTCGGACCCCTCGTGTACCATCTTGGGGGCCTCTCGGGGGCCTCTTGGCCTTTCTTGGGGCTCTCGGGGACGTCTCGGAGCCCTGTTGGTGCGCTCATGGAGCGCTCCTGGAGCGCTCTGGGGGACTCCTCCCGGGACTCTCTCGGGACCTTGCCGGGGTACTTTTCGTCCGTGGACCCCCAGGGGCCGCCCCGCGCGCGCGAACTAGAGAATTGTTAACCAGTTACCGGAGATCTTAGCACGCCTCTGGCCCGTTGGGCCGGCGAATTTAGTTTTCCTTTGGTCCACGCCTCGACTGTACTGGCCATCTTGGAGGGCAGCCCTGGGCCCTCGTGGCCGCCCGGGCGGCGACGTGTGCCACGGGAGAGGCGCACCTCTGGTGGCCTCCGGCGGCTTCCTCCCGCTGACCAGGGATCGGCCGAGGCCCCCTCGGGGAGCCTTGGAAGGAACCAGAGACAACTAAACCTCCTCCTCCTCCTCCTCCTCCTCCTCCTCCTCCTCCTCGTCCTCCTCCTCCCCCTCCTCCTCCTCCTCCTCCTCCTCCTCCTCCTCCTTCTTCTCCTCCTCCTCCTCCCCGTCTGGCGCGCAGTGCACCCGTGTGGCAAGACCACAGGTGGGCGGCGGATCGAAGACGCCCACGGCGCATCACAGCCGCCCCTCCCTAAATGAGCTGTTGGCCCCCTTGGAGGGGGAAAGGAACCAGAGACAAGCAAACGCCTGGCACGCAGTGCACCCATGTGGCAAAACCACTGGTTCGAAGAAGAAGAAACGCCGTAAACATACACTTTTGGCGCTCCGCGCGGATTTCGTGGATCCGCGTTGGGCCCCCCCGGCGACGCCGCCCCTGGCGCGCTCCGCGCGCCAGGGAGGGAGGTCCAGCGCAGATCCAAGAATTCCGCGCGGAGCGCCAAAAGTTTAGGTTTATGCGATTTTTCCTCCCCTGCGTGGGGCGGCGGATCGAAGACGCCTACGGCGAATCACCGCCGCCCCCTTGCCTTTTGGAATCGCCCACGTGGCCGAACGTTGTCGCCAGAGCTCTGCCAAGCTATCGGACCATATGTTCCTCCGGCCGTTGTGGAAACCCTTTGGGAAACACCTGCGGGAGGATGGCGGGGAAGATCGAGAGGAGGAGAAGGGGGCATCTTTGGAGCCTCTGTGGACACTCTTGGCGCCTCCTGGGAGCTTCCTGGGGCCTCCTGGAGGCATCGTGGGGGCCTCCTTGGGCCTCTTGGGGACCTTTGCGAGCTTGTTGGAGGCCTCTTTGGCCGTCTTAGGGCGTTCCTGGCCCGTCTGACGCCGTCAGATGCCGTCTTGGGGGCCTCTCTGAACTGACTTGGGGCCCTCTTGCTGTGCTCCAGGGCCGTTTTGGAGGCCAACGTGGGCGTCTTGGAAGCCTCTTCTGGGCCGACTTGAAGCTCTCTTGGGGCCGGCTTGGGGGCCTCTTGGGTCATTCCGAGGCCATCTTTGAGGCCTCTCGGGCGATCTTCAGGCAATCTCGGGGGGCTCTTGGGCCTTTCGGGCCGTCGGAAGGCTGTTTGGAAACACCTGCCATCATCTTTCGACAACCAAGAGACAATCACTGCCTTTTTGCCTCTGCACGCCTTCCTGGAAGCCCTCTTCGGGGCCTCTTGGGCCGTCTTGGAGGCCTCTTTGGGGCCTCTTGGGCCGTGCTAGGCAGCTTCAGAGGAGCTTCGCTCCTTCGTCAGCCTTCCTTCTGGTAGCAGCTTGACTGTATGCCGTTTTCGAGCTTCTATCAAGGACATCGGGTTCGACTCCGACGGGAGCAGCCAGGGGTCCCCATGCAGCCGCCGGGCGGTCGCGAAGGAGAAAACGCCCACCGAGTGGATGTCCGAGGCGGCGCAGCTCGGCAGGGGGCTCCTGGCCTTCCGGCACCCGGCCCTCGCCGAGGAG